CAAAGACACGGAGACACAGAGACACAGAGACACGGAGACAGAGACACAGAGAGACAGAGACACGGAGAGACAGAGACACGGAGAGACAGAGACACGGAGACAGAGACACAGAGACACGGAGACACACAGAGACAGAGACACGGAGAGACACAGAGACACGGAGCCAGAGACACAGACACACAGAGACAGAGACACAGAGAGACAGAGACACAGAGACACGGAGACACACAGAGACAGAGAGACACAGAGACACGGAGACAGAGACACAGAGAGACACGGAGAGACAGAGAGACAGAGACAGAGACACGGAGAGACAGAGACACGGAGAGACAGAGACACGGAGACACAGAGACACGGAGACACGGAGACAGAGACACAGAGAGACAGAGACACAGAGAGACACAGAGACACAGAGCCAGAGACACAAACACACAGAGACACGGAGACACACAGAGACAGAGACACAGAGACACGGAGACACAGAGACACGGAGACACACAGAGACACGGAGCCAGAGACACAGACACACAGAGATACAGAGACACGGAGACACGGAGACACAGAGACACGGAGACACAGACACACAGAGACACAAAGACACAGAGACACAGAGACACGGAGACACAGAGACACGGAGACAGAGACACGGAGACACGGAGGCGCGTGGAGTGATGTTGAGAGTCCATGGTGAACACGGCTCGTGATTTTACTGGGCGCAGGGTCTCAACGCGAAGGGAGAGAGCCGGGAGCGCTTAAATAAACAATCACCGTCGAGATTCACTAAATAAATACAACACACACACACGTACACACACACATGTACACACACACACGTACACACACACACGTACACACACGCATGTACACACACACACGTACACACACACACGTACACACACACACGCATGTACACACACACACACGTACACACACACGTACACACACACACGTACACACACACATGTACACACACATGTACACACACGCACGTACACACACACGCACGTACACACACACACATGTACACACACACATGTACACACGTACACACGCACGTACACACACGCACGTACACACACGCACGTACACACGCACGTACACACGCACATACACACGTATACACGTACACACACGTGTAGACACGCACACACACACGCACGTACACACACACGTACACACACACACGCGAAACATAAAACAAAGATCCCCCGTGTAGCCTGCTGTAGGCTGCAGGGGCAAGTGCTGTTAGCGAGCAGCAGCACCCTATGAAGGCCGGCACTGCACTCGAAGGGGCTGGGTGGCCAACACCACGCCCGGCCGCCTTTGTATCCCCACCCCCCCCCCACAGTGCTAGCGATGTTCACTACGCTACACCGCTACACCAGGTAACTCATTTGCGGCTGAGTCGACCTAGGGGAGGCCCAGGACCGGTTCAGAGAATCGTCACCGTGAGCGGGAATTGAACTCGGGTGGCCGGTGTTCGTAGCGCAGCGTAGCGCTAACCACTACACCCACCGCTCCCCACACACTCACACAGACAGCACGCTAACCACTACACCCACCGCTCCCCACACACAGAGACACACACACACAGACAGCACGCTAACCACTACACCCACCGCTCCCCCACACACACAGACAGCACGCTAACCACTACACCCACCGCTCCCCACAGACACATGCACACACAGACGCACAAGCACACACATGTACGTGCGTGTGTGCATGTACGTGTATGTGTGTAGGTGTGTGTGTGTAGGTGTGTGTAGGTGTGTGTAGCTGTGTGTGTAGGTGTGTGTGTAGGTTTGTGTGTGTGTAGGTGTGTGTAGGTGTGTGTGTGTAGCTGTGTGTGTAGGTGTGTGTGTAGGTTTGTGTGTGTGTAGGTGTGTAGGTGTGTGTGTGTAGCTGTGTGTGTGTAGGTTTGTGTGTGTAGGTGTGTAGCTGTGCGTGTGTAGGTGTGTGTAGCTGTGTGTAGGTGTGCGTGTGTTGGTGTGTGTGTGTAGGTGTGTGTGTGTAGGTGTGTAGGACCGGCTCCAGTTTAACAGCAGAGGTCTCACTCCGAATCAGTCGAGCGGCAATATATTTCATCGGTTGTGTAACGCTGTGGAAGCTACCTGGTCTGTCGCTCCGCACTAAGCTTCAGGTCTTCTCGGCCACGGTCATTCCCTCCCTTCTCTACGCTTGCGAAACGTGGACCCCCCTAATGGAACATTTTCGCCGGTTAGAAACCATTTAGGCTGGCCTGCCTACGATCCATCCTGGGTTTAAACCAGGCTGGATTGTGTGAGGAGCTCAAAAATCCTTTAAAGATCTGGGCAATGTCCATCGGTGAGCTCCTCCGGCAAGCAAGGCTGCGATGGCTGGGTCATGTAGCCCGCATGGCCCAGCCACCGCATGCCGAAACAGCTTTTGTTTGGCCGGATTGAGGGGGCTAAGCGGGCGCGGCACGGGCTAGAGAAGAGATGGAGTGATTGTGGTACAGGAGGACGTGGAGCTGAGTGGACTTGCCGATGACTGGTACCAGCGCTGTCAAGATCGGCCTCTGTGGAGGAGGCTCGTGAAGGATGCTACTGGGCAGTTGGAGGCAGTCGCCTCCAACAACAACGGAGGGCGGAGGAGCGACGCTCACAACAACGAGCGGAGCGCTGGGTGGCTAAAGCACGCAGGTTGGCACAGTAGGGCGCACAGGTGGGTGCATCAGCCAGTCATCTCAGTCAGTCGACCAGTGGCACCTGGGTCTGCCCCCATGACCTCCTGCCAGCGGGCGTTCGACACTTCACGTGGCCTCAAGGTGCACATAGCCTGGCACAAGCGTCGTTGTGGACGTCACCGCCACCTTAGTGGCGAATGGCGGTTGTTGTTGTTGTGTGTAGGTGTGTGTGTGTAGGTGTGTGTGTAGGTGTGTGTAGGTGTGTGTGTGTAGGTGTGTGTGTAGGTATGTGTGTAGGATGTGTGTGTAGGTGTGTAGGTGTGTGTAGGTGTGTGTAGGTGTGTGTGTGTAGGTGTGTGTAGGTTGTGTGTGTAGGTGTGTGGTAGGTGTGTGTAGTGTGTGTGTAGGTGTGTGTGTAGGTGTGTGTGTAGGTGTGTGTAGGTGTGTGTGTGTGTAGGTGTGTGTGTAGGAGTGTGTGTGTAGGAGTGTGTGTGTAGGTGTGTGTGTGTAGGTGTGTGTGTAGGTGTGTGTGTAGGTGTGTGGTTGTGTGTGTAGGTGCGTGTGTGTAGGTGTGCGTGTAGGTGTGTGTAGGTGTGTGTGTAGGTGTGTGTGTAGGTGGGTGTGTAGGTGTGTGTGTAGGGGTGTGTGTGTAGGTGGTTGTAGGTGTGTGTGTATCTAGGTGTGTGTATAGGTGTGTGTAAGTGTGTGTGGGTAGGTGTGTGTAGGTGGTGTGTGTATGTGTGTAGGTGTGTGTGTAGGTGTGGTGTGTAGGTGTGTGTGTGTAGGTGTATGTAGGTGGTGTGTGTAGGTGTGTGTGTAGGTGTGTGTGTGTAGCTGTGGTGTGGTGTAGTGTGTGTGTGTAGGTGTGTGTATAGCTTGTGGTGTAGGGGTGTGTAGCTGTGGTGTGTGTAGGTGTGTGGTGTAGGTGTGTGTGTAGGTGTGTCTGTAGGTGTGTGTGGTAGGTGTGTGTGTAGGGTGTGTGGTGTGTAGGTGTGTGTGTGGTAGGTGTGTGTGTGTGTAGCTGTGTGTAGCTTTGTGTGTGTAGGTGTGTGTGTACGTGTGTGTGGGTAGGTGTGTGGGTTGTAGGTGTGTGTAGGTTTGTGTGTGTAGGTGTGTAGGTGTGTGTGTAGGTGTGTGTAGGTGGTGTGTGTAGGTTGTGTGTAGGTGTGTGTGTGTGTAGTGTGTGTGTGTAGTGGTGTGTTAGGTGTGTGTGTGTAGGTGTGTGTGTGTGTAGGTGTGTGTGTGTGTAGTGTGTGTGTGTGTAGTGTGTGTGTGGTGTGTAGGTGTGTGTGTGGTAGGTGTGTGTGTGTAGGTGTGTGTAGGTGTGTGTTGTAGGTGTGTGTGTGGTATGTGTGTTGTAGTGTGTGTGTAGGCGTTTGTGTGTGTAGGTGTGTGGTAGGTGTGTGTGTAGGTGTGTGTGTGTGTAGTGTGTGTGTGTGTAGGTGTGTGTGTTGTAGGTGTGTGTGTGTGTAGGTGTGTGTGTTGTAGTGTGTGTGTAGGTGTGTGTGTGTGTAGGTGTGTGTGTGTATGGTGTGGTGTTTTGCTAGGTGTGTGTGTTGTGTAGGTGTCTTGTGGTGTAGGTGTGTGTTGTGTGTAGGTGTGTGTGGTGTTAGGTGTGTGTGTGTGTGTGTAGGTTGTGTGTGTGTAGGTTGTGTGTGTGTGTAGGTTGTGTGTGTGTGTAGGTTGTGTGTGTGTGTAGGTTGTGTGTGTGTGTAGGTTGTGTGTGTAGGTTGTGTGTGTGTAGGTGTGTGTGTGTGTAGGTGTGTGTGTAGGTGTGTGTGTGTGTGTAGGTGTGTGTGTGTGTGTGTAGGTGTGTGGTCGTGTAGGTGTGTGTGTGTGTAGGTGTGTGTGTGTGTAGCGTGTGTGTTGTAGGTGTAGTGTAGGTGTGTGTGTGTGTAGGTGTGTGTGTGTTGTAGGTTGTGTGTGTGTAGGTGTGTGTGTGTGTAGGTGTGTGTGGTGGTGTAGGTGTGTGTGTTGTGTAGGTGTGTGTGTGTGTAGGTGTGTGTGTGTAGGTTGTGTGTGTTTGTAGGTGTGTGTGTGTGTAGGTGTGTGTGTGTGTAGGTGTGTGTGTGTAGGTGTGTAGGTGTGTGTGTGTATGGTGTGTGTGTGTGTAGGTGTGTGTGTGTAGGTGTGTGTGTGTGTGTGTAGTGTGTGTGTGTGTGTAGGTGTGTGTGTGTGTAGGTGTGTGTGTAGGTGTGTGTGTAGGTGTGTGTGTGTGTAGGTGTGTGTGTGTGTGTGTAGGTGTGTGTGTGTGTAGGTGTGTGTGTGTGTAGGTGTGTGTGTGTGTGTAGGTGTGTGTGGTAGGTGTGTGTGTTGTAGTGTGTGTGTGTGTAGGTGTGTGTGTGTAGGTGTGTGTGTGTGTATGTGTGTGTGTGTAGGTGTGTGTGTGTGTGTGTAGGTGTGTGTGTGTGTGTGTGTAGGTGTGTGTGTGTGTGTGTGACTCTTCACGGAGTCTTCTTCCAGATGGTGTAGAAGACCCAGCTGGGGACAGTCAAGGGCACAACAGCTACAACCAATCACGACAACAACAACAATCACCAACAACCACCACCAACAACAACCAACAACAACAACCAACACCACCGCTACCACCAACAACAACACCACCACCACCACCAACAACCACAAACACCACCAACAACAACCACCTACAACAACAATCACCAGTTAGTAAGAGTAGTGGTAGTAGTGATAGTAGTAGTAGTGGTGGTAGTAGTGGTAGTGTAGTGGTAGTGTAGTAGTATGGTAGTAGTGGTTGTAACAGTGGTAGTAGTAGTGTAGTAGTATTGTAGTAGTAGTAGTAGTGGTAGCAGCAGTAGTGGTAGTAGTGGTTGTAACAGTGGTAGTAGTAGTGGTAGTAGTGTAGTAGTAGTGGTAGTAGTAGTGTAGTAGTAGTGGTTGTAACAGTGGTAGTGGTAGTAGTAGTGTAGTAGTAGTGGTAGTAGTAGTGTAGTAGTAGTGGTTGTAGTAGTGGTTGTAACTGTGGTAGTAGTAGTGGGAGTAGTAGTGGTTGTAACAGTGGTAGTTAGTAGTGGTTGTAGTAGTGGTTTGTAGTAGTGGTTGTAACAGGTGTAGTAGTAGTGTAGTAGTAGTGTAATAGTGTAGTAGTGGTGGTAGTAGTGGTACTGTAGTGGTAGTGTAGTAGTAGTGGTAGTAGTGGTAGTAGTAGTGTAGTAAGTAGTGGTTGTAACAGTGGTAGTAGTAGGTGGTAGTAGTAATGTAGTGGTATTGTAGTAGTAAGTAGTGTAGTAGTATTGTAGTAGTAGTGGTAGTAGTGGTAGTAGCAGTGGTAGACGTAGTAGTGTAGTAGTATTTTGAGTAGAGTGGTTCAGTAGTGGTAGTCGTAGTGGTAGTAGTAGTGGTAGTAGTAGTGGTTGTAGTAGGGTTGTAACAGTGCTAGTAGTAGTGGTAGTAGTAGTAGTAGTAGTAGTAGTGGTAGTAGTAGTGGTAGTAGTAGTGGTAGTGTAATAGTAGTGGTAGTATAGTGGTTGTAAGTGGTAGTAGAAGTGGTAGTAGTAGTGTAGTAGTGGTAGTGGTGGTGGTAGTAGTGTAGTAGTAATGGTAGTAGTGGTTGTAACAGTGGTAGTAGTAGTGGTAGAAGTAGTGGTAGTAGTAGTAGTGGAACAAGTATTGGTAGTGTAGTAGTAGTGTAGTAGTAGTGGTAGTACCAGTGATAGTAGTAGTAGTGTAGTAGTAGTGTAGTAGTAGTGGTAGTAGCAGTGGTAGTAGTAGTAGTAGTGTAGTAGTAGTGGCAGTAGTAGTGGTAGTAGTAGTGTAGTAGTAGTGGTTGTAGTAGTGGTTGTAACTGTGGTAGTAGTAGTGTTAGTAGTAGTGTAGTAGTAGTAGCAGTAGTTGTGGTAGTATAGCAGTGGTAGTAGTCAGAAGTAGTGTTAGTAGTAGTGGTAGTAGCAGTGGTAGTAGTAGTGGTAGTAGCAGTGGTAGTAGCAGTGGTAGAAGTATTGGTAGTGTAGTAGTAGTTGTAGTAGTGGTAGTAGCAGTGGTAGTAGTAGTGTAGTAGTAGTGGTGGTAGTAGTGGTAGTAGTAGTGTAGCAGTAGTGTGGTAGTAGTAGTGGTAGTAGTAGTGTAGTAGTAGTGGTAGTAGTAGTGGTAGTAGTGGTAGTAGCAGTGGTAAGTAGCAGTAGTGTAGTAGTAGTGGTAGTAGTAGTGGTAGTAGTAGTGTAGTAGTAGTAGTGTAGTAGTAGTGGTAGTAGCAGTGGTAGTAGTAGTGTTAGTAGTAGTAGTGTAGTGGTAGTAGTGTAGTGGTAGTAGTAGTGTAGTAGTAGTAGTGTAGTGGTAGTAGGAGTAGTGTAGTAGTAGTAGTGTTGTAGTAGTGGTAGTAGTAGTGTAGTAGTAGTGTAGTAGTAGTGGTAGTAGTAGTGGTAGTAGTAGTGTTAGTAGTAGTGGTAGTAGTGTAGTAGTAGTGTCGTTGTAGTGGTAGTAGTGTAGTAGTAGTGTTAGTTGTAGTGGTAGTGGTGTAGTAGTAGTGTTAATAGTAGTGTTAGGTAGTAGTGTTAGTAGTAGTAATGTGGTAGTAGTGGGTAGTAGTGGTGCCGAACGGGGGACAAGTGGGGGGGGAGGGCCAATTCCGATTGGCTCCTCCCCTCATGGCGTCTGTGACCACCACAGTGGCTAAACGGAGGCTCTTGGACGGGTGCGAGGGGCTGGTAACCCCTCCACCTTCGATTAACTACCACTAAAACTACGACTCCGAAAAATGTAATTAATAAGCTTGTGCCGGAGGACCCGGGGGGACAGGCGTCTATGACGTCTCCTGGCCAAACCCCATTGGCGGAGCCAGGAGATTGAATCCTTTACCCTCGGGGCTCCTCCAGAAACAACGAAAAGCCACTTCGGTTGGCCACGTGGAATGTCTCGAACGCTCACTGTGGAGGAGAGGCTGCCACTCCTCTGTCGGGAGCTGGACCGGTACCGCCTGGATCTCTGTGGCATTCAGGAGGTCCGGTGGACCGGTTAGGCTCCTGCTACCCTGAGGGGTGAACAGTCCTCTACTCGGGGCAGCAGACTGCCAAACAACAGGGTGTGGCTCTTCTTTTGAAACAAAGAATGAAGGAGGCGTGGGAGCGTGGCTGTGAGGTGTGGGAAGTTGTAAGCCCCAGGCTACGTTGGGCTCGCCTTCCCATCAACCAGGAGGCGAGGAGTGGTGGTCGTGGTTACTTATGCCCCCCACCGAAGACGAACATCCGTGGAGGGATGCAGGCAAGGCCGATGAGTCAGATGCCTTCTATGACCTCCTGTCACAGGTGCTGGCTAAAGTGGCCCCTCGGGATCGGTCATCTTGTTGGGTGGCTTCAATGCCCTGAGTTGGTCATGATGCTGGCACCGGGTCTGGAATGATTGGAGGGCATGGGCCAGATCAACTCAATAACAACGGTAGGAGGCTGCGAGATTTTTGTGCAGCCCATGGCCTTGTAATTACCAACACGCTGTTTCAGGCATCGGCGCATCCACACAACATCATGGATGCATGCCGGGTCCAAGCAAGAACATCTGCTGGACTACATAGTGACGAAACAGCGGAATGGACGAGCCCATGTCCTTGACAACCAGGACCTACCATGGAGCTGATTATTATTCCTCTGACCATCAACTAGTCATCTGTAAGATGCGCCTGCCATTCTTCCACTCCGGTGGTGGGTGTACACCCAGGACCCCATTCAAACCTAAAGTGGCCTGGTCTCATTTAGCTGATGAAAGTTGCAAGAGAGAATTTCATCATCGCCTTGCGCTGGGGTTGGCATCGTCCCCCACTCCTCCTGATGTCGAGGGTAAATGGGCGAGGTTTAGGACTGTGACTCATGCAGCTGCAATGGCTGCTTTGGGTACGCGGTCCAGACCTCCCCCAGAGACCCTGGCTGACAGAGGAGGTGTTCAGGATGGCTTGAGTAAAGCGACAGGCCCACTCTTCATCGGCTACAGCATCCCACGTCGGAGAATGAGGAGGCTTACCGCAGCCTTCGCTTCGGAGGTTTCGGAGAGCCGTGAGGCGCTGCAAGATGCTGTGGTGGTCGCGGGTTGCTGAGGAGATGGAGTCTAGCCTCAGTGGCCCGTGATCACAAATCTCTATTTAACTCCATCAAAAAAGTAACCTGCAGCGCCACACCTATACCATCATTAGGGGAAAGAACGGTGATCCAATCTCCGACCCCAGGAACAGGTTTGCAGATTTGCTGAGCATTTCTGTGAAGTCCTGGGGGAGGGAAAATCCCTCAGCCAGGAAAACATAGTGGCACAAAGTGGGGATGATCCTGCTGAGGCTGCGGTGCCTCAAATATTGGAGGAAGTCACCCCCTGTGAGTGGCTGGCTAAGGTGCCATCTGTTGAGGAAGTACTGAGGGCGACCCAGGAGTTTGAGACCAGGAAAGGCAGCGGGCAAAGATGATCTCCCAAGCGAAATGCTGAGGGAGGGTGGAGTTTGTGCACAGACTGCCCTACATGACATCATAACAACAGTCTGGACCAGTGGACAGGTTCCGCAGGATTGGAAGGATGCCCTGGTGGTCCCCCTCTTTAAGAAGGGGGACCGCACAGACTGTAACAACTACAGGGGCATCTCACTCCTCAGTGTGCCGGGAAAGGTCCTGGCAAGGATTATTCAGCATCGCCTCGCCAGGCACGCTGAGGAGAGGCTTGCGGAGCCCCAATGCGGTTTCAGGAAAGGGTGGTCCTGCACAGATGCCATATTTTCTGTCCAGTTTGCTACAGCAGAGGTGTAGGGAATTCCAACAAGACCTACATCTCTGCTTTATTGACCTGGTCAAGGCCTATGATACCATCAGTAGGCCTGGGCTCTGGGTTGTTCTTCAGTGCTTTTCGGAGTCCCTGACCCTCTGCTCACGCTCATTAAGGACCTTCATGATGGTGAGCGGGCCCGGGTAAAAACTACGTGGCCGGGAGTCGGAGCCATTCCCTGTTACACCTTGGGGTGCGACAGGGATGTCCTCTGGCTCCCAACATTATTTAACATCTATTTTGACCACGTAGTTCATGAAGCCTTCAATAGCTGTTACCGGGGGAATCTCCATCTAGTACAGATACAATGGGAGGCTGATCGATGCCTGGGTGCGGTCAAGGGATAGGCTCCCTATTGCTCAACCACGTTATGTATGCTGATGACTTGGTAATAGCTAGCTCATTCAGAGGAGGAGTTGGAGGACGCTGCTGCTGAGACTGGAGCGTGCCACTAAGAGGTGGGGCCTTACCATCAGCCCCACCAAAACTAAGCACCTGCCTGGGTATTTTGTACCATCGGACACTCCACCCCCACAACTCCCAATCGGTGATGGGGCAGTTGTGGAGAGAGTGGAGAGTTTCCCATACCTGGGCAGTGTGCTTATGACCGGCTCCAGGTTTAACAGCAGAGGTCTCACTCCGAATCAGTCGAGCGGCAATATCTTTTCATCGGTTGCGTAACGCTGTGTGGAAGCTACCTGGTCTGTCGCTCCGCACTAAGCTTCAGGTCTTCTCGGCCACGGTCATTCCCTCCCTTCTCTACGCTTGCGAAACCGTGGACCCCCCTAATGGAACATCTTCGCCGGTTAGAAACATTTAGGCTGGCCTGCCTACGATCAATCCTGGGTTTTAACCAGACTGGATTGTGTGAGGAGCTCACAAATCCTTCGAAGATCTGTACAAGGTCCATCGGTGAGCTCCTCCGGCAGGCAAGGCTGCTATGGCTGGGTCATGTAGCCCGCATGCCTAGCCACCAGCATGCCGAAACAGCTTTTGTTCGGTCCGGATCGAGGGGGCTAAACGGGCGAGGCACGGGCTAGAGAAGAGATGGAGTGATGTGGTACAGGAGGACGTGGAGCTGAGTGGACTTGCCGATGACCTGGTACCAGCGGTGTCAAGATCGGCCTCTGTGGAGGAGGCTCGTGAAGGACGCTACTGGGCAGTTGGAGGCAGTCGCCCTCCAACAACAAGCGGAGGGCGGAGGAAGCGACGCTCACAACAACGAGCGGAGCGCCGGGTGGCTAAAGCACAGCAGGTTGGCACAGTAGGGGGCACAGGTGGTGCATCAGCCAGTCATCTCAGTCAGTCGACCCGTGGCACCTGGGTCTGCCCCGTGACCTCCTGCCAGCGGGCGTTTCGACACTCCACGTGGCCTCAGGGTGCACATGGCCTGGCACAAGCGTCGCTTAGTGGCGAATGGCGGTTGTTGTTGTTGTTGTTGGAAGTAGTAGTGGTAGTAGTGGTAGTAGAGGTAGTTGGAGTTAGTTGGAGGTAGGTAGTGGTAGTTATTGAGGATACAGGTGGAGGTAGAATGGGACGTTGGCCGTGCTGGTAGTGGTGGTAGTAGTGGTGTAGTAGTAGTAGTGGTGTAGTAGTAGTGGTGTAGTAGTAGTGGTGGTGTAGTAGTGGTGTAGTAGTAGTGGTGGTGTAGTAGTGGTGTAGTAGTAGTGTAGTGGTAGTAGTAGTGGTGTAGTAGTGGTGTAGTAGTAGTAGTGGTGGTAGTAGTGGTGTAGTAGTAGTAGTGGTGTAGTAGTAGTGGTGGTGTAGTAGTAGTGGTGTAGTAGTAGTGGTGTAGTAGTAGTAGTGTGTAGTAGTAGTAGTGGTGTAGTAGTAGTGGTGGTGTAGTAGTAGTGGTGTAGTAGTAGTAGTGGTGGTAGTAGTGGTGTAGTAGTAGTAGTGGTGTAGTAGTAGTGGTGTAGTAGTAGCAGTGGTGTAGTAGTAGTGGTGTAGTAGTAGCAGTGGTGTAGTAGTAGCGGTGGTGTAGTAGTAGTGGTGGTGTAGTAGTAGTGGTGGTAGTAGTGGTGTAGTAGTAGTGGTGGTAGTAGTGGTGTAGTAGTAGTGGTGTAGTAGTAGTAGTGGTGTAGTAGTGGTGTAGTAGTAGTAGTGGTGTAGTAGTAGTGGTGTAGTAGTAGTGTAGTAGTAGTGTAGTAGTAGTGTTGTAGTAGTAGTAGTGGTGTAGTAGTAGTGGTGTAGTAGTAGTGGTGTAGTAGTAGTAGTGGTGGTAGTAGTGGTGTAGTAGTGGTGTAGTAGTAGTGTGTAGTAGTAGTGTAGTAGTGGTGTAGTAGTAGTAGTGTAGTAGTAGTAGTGTAGTAGTAGTGTAGTAGTAGTGTAGTAGTAGTAGTGGTGTAGTAGTAGTGGTGTAGTAGTAGTGGTGTAGTAGTAGTGGTGTAGTAGTGGTGTAGTAGTAGTGGTGGTAGTAGTGGTGTAGTAGTGGTGTAGTAGTAGTGGTGGTAGTGGTGTAGTAGTAGTAGTGTAGTAGTAGTGGTGTAGTAGTAGTGGTGTAGTAGTAGTGGTGTAGTAGTAGTGTAGTGTTAGTTAGTGTTAGTGTAGTGGTAGTTAGTGTTAGTTAGTGTTAGTTAGTGAGGATACAGCTCCAGGTACGAGGGGACGTTGGCCGTGCGGCTAGTGGTGTAGTAGTGGTAGTGTAGTGGTAGTAGTGTAGTGGTAGTTAGTGGTAGTTTAGTGGTAGTTTAGTGGTAGTTTAGTGGTAGTTAGTGAGGATACAGCTCCAGGTACGAGGGCACGTTGGCCGTGCGGCTAGTGTAGTAGTAGTGGTAGTGTAGTGGTAGTGTAGTGGTAGTGTAGTGTTAGTTAGTGGTAGTGTAGTGGTAGTTAGTGGTAGTTTAGTGGTAGTTAGTGGTAGTAGTATAGTGGTAGTTTAGTGTTAGTTAGTGTTAGTTAGTGTTAGTGTTAGTTAGTGAGGATACAGCTCCAGGTACGAGGGCACGTTGGCCGTGCAGCTAGTGGTGTAGTAGTGGTGGTGTAGTGATAGTGTAGTAGTGTTAGTTAGTGTTAGTTTAGTGGTAGTTTAGTGTTAGTTAGTGTTAGTTAGTGAGGATACAGCTCCAGGTACGAGGGCACGTTGGCCGTGCGGCTAGTGGTGTAGTAGTGGTGTAGTGGTAGTGGTGTAGTGGTAGTTAGTGGTAGTGTAGTGGTAGTGTAGTAGTAGTGTAGTGTTAGTTAGTGGTAGTTAGTGTTAGTGTAGTGTTAGTGTAGTAGTAGTGGTGGTAGTTAGTGGTAGTTAGTGGTAGTGTAGTAGTAGTGTAGTGGTAGTGTAGTGGTAGAAGTAGTGTAGTGGTAGTGTAGTAGTAGTAGTATTAGTGTAGTAGTATTAGTGTAGTAGTAGTGTAGTAGTGTAGTGGTAGTTAGTAGTAGTTAGTGGTAGTTTAGTGTTAGTTAGTGAGGATACAGCTCCAGGTACGAGGGGACGTTGGCCGTGCGGCTAGTGGTGTAGTAGTAGTAGTTAGTGGTAGTGTAGTGTTAGTTAGTGTTAGTGTAGTGGTAGTTAGTGAGGATACAGCTCCAGGTACGAGGGCACGTTGGCTGTGCGGCTAGTGGTGTAGTAGTAGTGGTAGTTAGTGATAGTGTAGTGTTAGTTAGTGGTAGTTAGTGTTAGTTTAGTGTTAGTTATTGAGGATACAGCTCCAGGTACGAGGGCACGTTGGCTGTGCGGCTAGTGGTGTAGTAGTGGTAGTTAGTGATAGTGTAGTGTTAGTTAGTGGTAGTTAGTGTTAGTTAGTGTTAGTTTAGTGTTAGTTATTGAGGATACAGCTCCAGGTACGAGGGCACGTTGGCCGTGCGGCTAGTGGTGTAGTAGTGGTAGTAGTAGTGATAGTTTAGTGGTAGTGTAGTGGTAGTTAGTGGTAGTTAGTGTTAGTTAGTGGTAGTTTAGTGTTAGTTAGTGAGGATACAGCTCCAGGTACGAGGGCACGTTGGCTGTGCGGCTAGTGGTAGTGGTGTAGTAGTAGTGATAGTTTAGTGGTAGTGTAGTGGTAGTTAGTGGTAGTGTAGTGGTAGTTAGTGGTAGTTAGTGGTAGTTTAGTGGTAGTTAGTGTTAGTTAGTGAGGATACAGCTCCAGGTACGAGGGCACGTTGGCCGTGCGGCTAGTGGTGTAGTAGTAGTGGTAGTTAGTGTTAGTTAGTGGTAGTTTAGTGGTAGTTAGTGTTAGTTAGTGTTAGTATAGTGGTAGTTTAGTGTTAGTTAGTGTTAGTTAGTGAGGATACAGCTCCAGGTACGAGGGCACGTTGGCCGTGCGGCTAGTGGTGTAGTAGTAGTGGTGTAGTAGTAGTAGTGTAGTGGTAGTTAGTGTTAGTTAGTGATAGTGTAGTGGTAGTTAGTGAGGATACAGCTCCAGGTACGAGGGCACGTTGGCCGTGCGGCTAGTGGTGGTGGTAGTGTTAGTGGTGGTAGTAGTGGTAGTTAGTGGTAGTTAGTGGTAGTGTAGTAGTAGTAGTGGTGTAGTAGTAGTGGTGTAGTAGTAGTGGTGTAGTAGTAGTGGTAGTAGTGTAGTGGTAGTTTAGTGTTAGTGTAGTGGTAGTTAGTGTTAGTTTAGTGTTAGTTTAGTGGTAGTTAGTGAGGATACAGCTCCAGGTACGAGGGCACGTTGGCTGTGCGGCTAGTGGTGGTGGTAGTGTAGTGGTAGTAGTGGTAGTTAGTGGTAGTTAGTGTTAGTTAGTGGTAGTTTAGTGGTAGTTAGTGAGGATACAGCTCCAGGTACGAGGGCACGTTTGCCGTGCGGCTAGTGGTGTAGTAGTGGTGTAGTGGTAGTTAGTGGTAGTGTAGTGTTAGTGTAGTAGTAGTGTAGTGGTAGTTAGTGGTAGTTAGTGTTAGTTTAGTGGTAGTTAGTGAGGATACAGCTCCAGGTACGAGGGCACGTTTGCCGTGCGGCGGGTGAAGCCCACGGGAGGCTGCAGCTGCCCCAGGTGCTGCTCGTAGACACGCAGAGCGGCACGCATATTGTAGCCATTACCCTACACACAGTGAGACACACAGTCACACACAGTCACATATTGTAGCCATTACCCTACACACACACACAGTCACACACACAGTCACACACACACAGTCACAGTCACATATTGTAGCCGTTACCCTACACACACACACACAGTCACACACACAGTCACACACACACATATTGTAGCCGTTACCCTACACACACGGTCACACACAGTCACATATTGTAGCCGTTACCCTACACACAGTCACACACACACAGTCACACACACAGTCACATATTGTAGCCGTTACCCTACACAGTCACACACACACAGTCACACAGTCACACACACAGTCACATATTGTAGCCGTTACCCTACACACACCAACGCACACAGTCACACACACAGTCACACCACACACACATATTGTAGCCGTTACCCTACACACACAGTCACACACAGTCACATATTGTAGCGTTACCCTACACACAGTCACACACACACAGTCACACAGTCACACACACAGTCACATATTGTAGCCGTTACCCTACACACACACACAGTCACACATATTGTAGCCATTACCCTACACACACACACACAGTCACACATATTGTAGCCATTACCCTACACACACAGTCACACACAGTCACACATATTGTAGCCGTTACCCTACACACACAGTCACACACAGTCACACATATTGTAGCCGTTACCCTACACACAGTCACACACAGTCACACATATTGTAGCCATTACCCTACACACAGTGAGACACACAGTGAGACACACACACACAGTCACATATTGTAGCCGTTACCCTACACACAGTCACACACAGTCACAGTGACACACACAGTCACAGTCACAATCACATATTGTAGCCGTTACCCTACACACACAGTCACACACAGTCACACACAGTCACACACAGTCACATATTGTAGCCGTTACCCTACACACACACACACACACAGTCACATATTGTAGCCATCACCCTACACACACAGTCACACACACAGTCACACAGTGAGACACACACAGTCACATATTGTAGCCGTTACCCTACACACACACAGTCACAATCACACACACACACAGTCACACACACAGTCACACACACACACAGTCACACAGTCACACACACAGTCACACAGTCACACATATTGTAGCCGTTACCCTACACACACACAGTCACACACACAGTCACACATATTGTAGCCGTTACCCTACACACACAGTGAGACATAGTGACACAGTCACATATTGTAGCCGTTACCCTACACACACACACAGTCACACACAGTCACACACACAGACACATATTGTAGCCGTTACCCTACACACACACACAGTCACACACACACACATATTGTAGCCATTACCCTACACACACAGTCACACACAGTCCACAGTCACACACACACACACAGACGCATATTGTAGCCATTACCCTACACACACAGTGAGACACACACACACACAGTCACATATTGTAGCCGTTACCCTACACACAGTGAGACACACACACACACAGTCACATATTGTAGCCGTTACCCTACACACAGTCACACACAGTCACAGTGACACACACAGTCACACAGTCACACAGTCACAATCACATATTGTAGCCGTTACCCTACACACACAGTCACACACACAGTCACACACAGTCACACACAGTCACATATTGTAGCCGTTACCCTACACACACACACACACAGTCAGTGACACACACACACACAGTCACATATTGTAGCCGTTACCCTACACACACACACAGTCACATATTGTAGCCATTACCCTACACACAGTCACACACACAGTCACACAGTGAGACACACACAGTCACATTGTAGCCATCACCCTACACACACAGTCACACACACAGTCACACAGTGAGACACACACAGTCACATATTGTAGCCGTTACCCTACACACACACAGTCACAATCACACACACACACACACACACAGTCACACACACAGTCACACAGTCACACACACACACACAGTCACACACACAGTCACACAGTCACACATATTGTAGCCGTTACCCTACACACACACAGTCACACATATTGTAGCCGTTACCCTACACACACAGTGAGACATAGTGACACAGTCACATATTGTAGCCGTTACCCTACACACACACACAGTCACACACAGTCACACACACAGACACATATTGTAGCCGTTACCCTACACACACACACAGACACACACACACATATTGTAGCCATTACCCTACACACACAGTCACACACAGTCACACAGTCACACACAGTCACACACACACACACAGACGCATATTGTAGCCGTTACCCTACACACAGTGAGACACACACACACACAGTCACATATTGTAGCCGTTACCCTACATACACAGTGAGACACACACACACACAGTCACATATTGTAGCCGTTACCCTACACACACAGTCACACAGTCACACACACATATTGTAGCCGTTACCCTACACACACAGTCACAGTGAGACAGACACACAGTCACACACACAGTCACACAGTCACACACACACACACAGTCACACACAGTCACACACAGTCACACATATTGTAGCCGTTACCCTACACACACACACACAGTCACACAGTCACACACACAGTCACATATTGTAGCCGTTACCCTACACACACAGTCACACACAGTCACACACACACAGTGAGACACACACACACACAGTCACAGTGACACACACACAGTGAGACACACACACACACACAGTGACATATTGTAGCCGTTACCCTACACACACAGTGAGACACAGTCACACACAGTCACAGTCACATATTGTAGCCATTACCCTACACACACAGTCACACAGTCACACACACACAGTCACACACAGTCACATATTGTAGCCGTTACCCTACACACACAGTGAGACACAGTCACACACACACACAGTCACATATTGTAGCCGTTACCCTACACACACACACACACAGTGAGACACAGTCACACACAGTCACACAGTGACACACACACAGTGACACACACAGTCACACACAGTCACAGTCACATATTGTAGCCATTACCCTACACACACAGTCACACAGTCACAGTGACACACAGTCACACACACAGTCACATATTGTAGCCGTTACCCTACACACACAGTGAGACACAGTCACACACACACAGTCACATATTGTAGCCGTTACCCTACATACACACACACAGTGAGACACAGTCACACACAGTCACACAGTCACACACACAGTGACACACACAGTCACACACAGTCACAGTCACATATTGTAGCCATTACCCTACAGACACAGTCACACACACACACACAGTCACACACACAGTCACATATTGTAGCCGTTACCCTACACACACAGTCACACAGTCACACACACACGGTCACACAGTCACACACACACAGTCACACACACAGTCACACACAGTGAGACACACAGTCACACACACAGTCACATATTGTAGCCGTTACCCTACACACAGTCACACAGTCACATATTGTAGCCATTACCCTACACACACAGTCACACACAGTCACATATTGTAGCCGTTACCCTACACACACACAGTCACACACAGTCAGACACACACACAGTCACACACACACAGTCACATATTGTAGCCGTTACCCTACACACACAGTCACACACACAGTCACACACAGTCACACACACAGTCACACACACACAGTCACATATTGTAGCCGTTACCCTACACACACACACAGTGAGACACAGTCACACACACAGACACACACACAGTCACACACACACACACAGTCACACACACACACAGTCACACAGTGAGACACACACACACAGTCACATTGTAGCCGTTACCCTACACACACAGTCAGACAGTCACACACACACACACAGTCACACACACACACACGTCACACACAGTCACACACAGTCACAGTGACACACACACAGTCACATATTGTAGCCGTTACCCTACACACACAGTCATACAGTCACACACACAGTCACACAGTCACACACACAGTCACACACAGTCACACACACAGTCACACACAGTCACAGTGACACACACACACACAGTCACATATTGTAGCCGTTACCCTACACACACAGTCACACACAGTCACACAGTCACACAGACACAGTGACACACAGTCACACACACAGTCACATATTGTAGCCGTTACCCTACACACACACACACAGTCACACACAGTCACACACACAGTCACACAGTCACACACACAGACACACACACACACACAGTCACATATTGTAGCCGTTACCCTACACACACACAGTGAGACACACAGTCACACACACACACACAGTCACACACCAGTCACACACACAGTCACAGTCACATATTGTAGCCGTTACCCTACACACACAGTGAGACACAAAGTCACACACAGTCACACACAGTCACACAGTCACACACAGTCACACACAGTCACAGTCACATATTGTAGCCGTTACCCTACACACACACAGTGAGACACACACACAGTCACACACAGTCACACACACAGTCACATATTGTAGCCGTTACCCTACACACACAGTCACACACACAGTCACACAGTGAGACAGTCACACACACAGTCACACACACACACACAGTCACACACAGTCACACACAGTCACAGTGACACACACACAGTCACATATTGTAGCCGTTACCCTACACACACACAGTCATACAGTCACCACACAGTCACACAGTCACACACACAGTCACACACAGTCACACACACAGTCACACACAGTCACAGTGACACACACACACACAGTCACATATTGTAGCCGTTACCCTACACACACAGGCACACACAGTCACACAGTCACACAGACACAGTGACACACAGTCACACACACAGTCACATATTGTAGCCGTTACCCTACACACACACACACAGTCACACACAGTCACACACACAGTCACACAGTCACACACACAGTCACACACCACACAGTCACATATTGTAGCCGTTACCCTACACACACACAGTGAGACACACAGTCACACACACACAGTCACCACACAGACACACACACAGTCACAGTCACATATTGTAGCCGTTACCCTACACACACAGCGAGACACAAAGTCACACACAGTCACACACAGTCACACAGTCACACACAGTCACACACAGTCACAGTCACATATTGTAGCCGTTACCCTACACACACACAGTGAGACACACACACAGTCACACACAGTCACACACACAGTCACATATTGTAGCCGTTACCCTACACACACAGTCACACACACAGTCACACAGTGAGACAGTCACACACACAGTCACACACACAGTCACATATTGTAGCCGTTACCCTACACACACACAGTCACACACAGTCACACACACAGTGAGACAGTGACACACACACAGTGACACACCAACCAGTCACACACACACACAGTGACACACACACTCACACAGTGACACACACACCAGTCACACACACACACACAGTGACACACAGTCCACACACACACAGTCACACACAGTGACACACACACAGTCACACACACACAGTGACACACAAACACAGTGACACACACAGTGACACACACACACTGACACACACACAGTGACACACACAGTGACACACACACAGTGACACACACACACACAGTGACACACAGTGACACACACACAGTGACACACACACAGTGACACACACACACAGTGACACACACACACACACAGTGACACACACACACAGTGACACACACACACAGTGACACACACACAGTGACACACACACAGTGACACACACACAGAGACACACACACACACAGTGACACACAGTGACACACACACACACAGTGACACACACACACAGTGACACACACACACACACGCGCACACACACAGTGAGTGATTGGTGAGTGATTGGTGAGTGACTGGTGAGTGATTGGTGAGTGATTGGTGAGTAATTGGTGAGTACCTGGGTGAGTAATTGGTGAGTACCTGGGTGAGGTATTGGTGAGTAATTGGTGAGTGATTGGTGAGTAATTGGTGAGTGATTGGTGAGTAATTGGTGAGTGATTGGTGAGTGACTGGTGAGTACTTGGTGAGTATTTGGTGAGTGATTGGTGAGTGATTGGTGAGTGATTGGTGAGTAATTGGTGAGTGATTGGTGAGTAATTGGTGAGTAATTGGTGAGTAATTGGTGAGTGACTGGTGAGTAATTGGTGAGTAATTGGTGAGTACCTGGGTGAGTGATTGGTGAGTAATTGGTGAGTATCTGGGTGAGGTATTGGTGAGTAACTGGTGAGTAATTGGTGAGTGATTGGTGAGTAATTGGTGAGTGACTGGTGAGTAATTGGTGAGTAATTGGTGAGTAACTGGTGAGCAATTGGTGAGTAATTGGTGAGTAATTGGTGAGTAATTGGTTAGTACCTGGGTGAGTAATTGGTGAGTAACTGGTGAGTAATTGGTGAGTACTTGGTGAGTGATTGGTGAGTAACTGGTGAGTAATTGGTAACTGGTGAGTGACTGGTGAGTAATTGGTGAGTACTTGGTGAGTATTTGGTGAGTGATTGGTGAGTACCTGGGTGAGGTATTTGGTGAGTAACTGGTGAGTAATTGGTAACTGGTGAGTGACTGGTGAGTAATTGGTGAGGTATTGGTGAGTAATTGGTGAGTAATTGGTGAGTAACTGGTGAGTAACTGGTGAGTGACTGGTGAGTAATTGGTGAGGTATTGGTGAGTAATTGGTGAGTATTTGGTGAGTGATTGGTGAGTGACTGGTGAGTGATTGGTGAGTAACTGGTGAGTGATTGGTGAGTGATTGGTGAGGTATTGGTGAGTAATTGGTGAGTAATTGGTGAGTGATTGGTGAGTGATTGGTGAGTATTTGGTGAGTAATTGGTGAGTAATTGGTGAGTGATTGGTGAGTGACTGGGAAGTAATTGGTGAGTGATTGGTGAGTGATTGGTGAGTATTTGATGAGTAATTGGTGAGTAATTGGTGAGTGATTGGTGAGTGATTGGTGAGGTATTGGTGAGTAATTGGTAAGTAATTGGTGAGTGATTGGTGAGTGATTGGTGAGTGATTGGTGAGTAACTGGTGAGTAATTGGTGAATATTTGGTGAGTATTTGGTGAGTAACTGGTGAGTAACCGGTGAGTGACTGGTGAGTGATTGGTGAGTAATTGGTGAGTAATTGGTGAGTGATTGGTGAGAAATTGGTGAGTAATTGGTGAGTGATTGGTGAGTGATTGGTGAGTAATTGGTGAGTATTTGGTGAGTAACTGGTGAGTGATTGGTGAGTGATTGGTGAGTGATTCGTGAGTAATTGGTGAGTATTTGGTGAGTAACTGGTGAGTGATTGGTGAGTAATTGGTGAGTGAATGGTGAGTGATTGGTGAGTAACTGGTGAGTAATTGGTGAGTGATTGGTGAGTGATTGGTGAGTGATTGGTGAGTAACTGGTGAGTGATTGGTGAGTAATTGGTGAGTGATTGGTGAGTAATTGGTGAGTGATTGGTGAGTGATTGGAGAGTAACTGGTGAGTGATTGGTGAGTAACTGGTGAGTGATTGGTGAGTAATTGGTGAGTGATTGGTAATTGGTGAGTATTTGGTGAGTAATTGGTGAGTGATTGGTGAGTAATTGGTGAGTGGTTGGTGAGTGATTGGTGAGTGATTGGTGAGTGATTGGTGAGTGACTGGTGAGTGATTGGTGAGTAATTGGTGAGTGATTGGTGAGTAATTGGTGAGTGATTGGTGAGTGACTGGTGAGTGATTGGTGAGTAACTGGTGAAGTAATTGTGAGTGACTGAGTGATTGGTGAATATTTGGTGAGTATTTGGTGAGTAATTGGTGAGTATTTGGTGAGTAACTGGTGAGTGATTGGTGAGTAATTGGTGAGTGACTGGTGAGTGATTGGTGAGTGATTGGTGAGTAATTGGTGAGTGATTGGTGAGTAATTGGTGAGTAACTGGTGAGTGATTGGTGAGTGATTGGTGAGTGATTCGTGAGTAATTGGTGAGTATTTGGTGAGTAACTGGTGAGTAACTGGTGAGTGATTGGTGAGTAATTGGTGAGTGATTGGTGAGTACCTGGGTGAGTAATTGGTGAGTAATCGGTGAGTAATTGGTGAGTGATTGGTGAGTAATTGGTGAGTAATTGGTGAGTGATTGGTGAGTATTTGGTGAGTAATTGGTGAGTAATTGGTGAATATTTGGTGAGTAACTGGTGAGTGATTGGTGAGTAACTGATGAGTGATTGGTGAGTAATTGGTGAGTGATTGGTGAGTACCTGGGTGAGGTATTTGCCGTCTGGACGTAGAACCTTGAGGGAAAGTTCCAGAATGAGCCACAGGAACTCCCACGAAGAGTCTGGGGGTGGTGAGCAGTGGTGAGCAGTGGTGAGTAGTGAGAAGTAGTGAGGAGTGGTGAGTGGTGGTGAGTGGTGGTGACTGGTGGTGAGTAGTGTGAGGAGTGGGAGTGGTGAGTGGTGAGTGGTGAGCAGTGGTGAGTAGTGGTGAGTGGGGGTGAGTGGTGAGGAGTGGTGGTGAGTGGTGAGGAGTAGTGAGTGGGGTGAGGAGTGGTGAGGAGTGGTGAGTGGGGGTGAGTAGTGGTGAGCAGTGGTGAGGGGGGTGAGAGGTGGTGAGCAGTGGTGAGTAGTGAGTGGTGAGTAGTGGTGAGTGGTGAGTAGTGGTGAGGAATGGTGAGGAGTGGTGAGTGGGGGTGAGTGGTGAGTAGTGGTGGTGAGTAGTGGTGAGTGGTGAGGAGTAGTGAGTGGGGGTGGTGAGCAGTGGTGAGTAGTGGTGAGTGGTGGTGGTGAGTAGTGGTGAGTGGTGAGGAGTAGTGAGTGGGGGTGGTGAGCAGTGGTGAGTAGTGGTGAGTGGGGGTGGTGAGTAGTGGTGAGGAGTAGTGAGTGGGGGTGGTGAGTAGTGGTGAGTAGTGGTGAGTGGTGGTGAGTAGTGGTGAGTAGTGGTGAGTAATGGTGAATAGTGGTGGTGAGTAGTGGTGAGTAGTGGTGAGTAGTGGTGAGGAGTGGTGAGTGGGGGTGAGTGTGGTGAGGAGTGGTGAGCAGTGGTGAGGAGTGGTGAGTGGTGGTGAGTAGTGGTGAGTAGTGGTGAGCAGTAGTGGTGAGTGGGGGGAGTGGTGGGAGGATGATGAGTAGTGTGAGTAGTGGTGAGTAGTGGTGAGTAGTGGTGAGTAGTGGTGAGGAGTAGTGAGGAGTGAGTAGTGGTGAGTAGTGGTGAGTAGTGGTGAGTAGTGGTGAGTAGTGGTGAGCAGTAGTGGTGAGTAGTGCGTAGTGGTGAGTAGTGGTGAGGAGTGGTGAGTGGTGGTGAGTAGTGATGGGTGGGGGTGGTGAGCAATGGTGGTGAGGAATAGTGAGGAGTGGTGAGCAGTGGTGAGCGGTGGTGAGTGGGGGTGGTGAGTAGTGGTGAGGAGTAGTGAGTGGTGGTTAGGAGTGGTGAGTAGTGGTGAGGAGTGGTGAGTGGTGGTGAGGAGTAGTGAGTAGTGAGTGGTGAGCAGTGTTGAGGAGTAGTGAGTGGGGTGGTGAGTAGTGAGCAGTGAGTAGTGGTGAGGAGTGGTGAGCAGTGGTGAGGAGTGTGAGTGGGGGTGGTGAGTAGTGGTGGTGAGTGGGGGTGTGAGTGGGGGTGGTGAGTGGGGGTGGTGAGTGGGGTGGTGAGTGGGGTGTGAGTGTGGTGGTGAGTGTGGTGGTGAGTGTAGTGGTGAGTGTAGTGGTGAGTGTAGTGGTGAGTGTAGCGGTGAGTGTGGTGGTGAGTGTAGTGCTGAGTGTAGTGGTGAGTGTAGTGGTGAGTGTGGTGGTGAGTGTGGTGGTGAGTGTAATGGTGAGTGTAGTGGTGAGTGTGGTGGTGAGTGTAGTGGTGAGTGTAGTGGTGCTGGTGAGTGGTGAGTGTAGTGGTGAGTGTAGTGGTGAGTGGTGCTGGCAAGTGGTGAGTGTAGTGGTGAGTGGTGCTGGCGAGTGGTGAGTGTAGTGGTGAGTGGTGCTGGTGAGTGGTGAGTGTAGTGGTGAGGGTACCGTGGTGGTGAGTGTGGTGGTGAGTGTAGTGGTGAGTGTGGTGGTGAGTGTGGTGGTGAGTGTAGTGGTGAGTGGTGGTGAGTGTAGTGGTGAGTGTAGTGGTGAGTGTAGTGGTGAGTGGTGAGTAGTGGTGTGTGGTGAGTGTAGTGGTGAGTGGTGAGTGTAGTGGTGAGTGTAGTGGTGAGTGTAGTGGTGAGGGTACCGTGGTGGTGAGTGGTCGAGATGGGGATGGCCGTGAGGTCGTTGATGATGAAGTCAAACTCCGTGCCGCTGTCAGCGTAGCGACGTAGAGCGGGAACACAGTCACCCACCACGATCTACACACACACAGTGTGACACACACAGTCACACACACAGTGTGACACACAGTCACACACACACAGTCACCCACCACGATCTACACACACACAGTGTGACACACAGTCACACACAGTCACACACACAGTCACACACCACAATCTACACACACACACACAGTCACACACACACACAGTCACCCACCACGATCTACACACACACACAGTGTGACACACACAGTCACACACCACGATCTACACACACACAGTGTGACACACACACAGTGTGACACACACACAGTCACAGTCACCCACCACGATCTACACACACACAGTGTGACACACACAGTCACCCACCACGATCTACACACAGTCACACAGTCACACACACAGTCACCCACCACGATCTACACAGTCACACAGTCACACACAGTCACACAGTCACACACACAGTCACACACAGTCACACAGTCACACACACAGTCACACACACACAGTCACACACAGTCACACACACACACAGTCACCCACCACGATCTACACACACACACAGTCACAGTCACACAGTCACACACACACACAGTCACCCACCACGATCTACACACACACAGTCACACACAGTGTGACACACACAGTCACCCACCACAATCTACGCACAGTCACACACACAGTCACCCACCACGATCTACACACACACAGTCACACACAGTCACACACACAGTCACCCACCACGATCTACACACAGTCACACAGTCACCCACACAGTCACACACACACAGTGTGACACACACACACACAGTCACCCACCACGATCTACACACACACAGTCACCCACCACGATCTACACACACACAGTCACACACACAGTCACACACACAGTCACACACACACAGTCACACAGTCACCCACCACGATCTACACACACACACACAGTCACACACAGTCACACACACACACAGTCACCCACCACGATCTACACACACACAGTCACACAGTCACACACACAGTCACACACACACAGTCACCCACCACGATCTACACACACACAGTGACACACCAGTCACACACAGTCACACACAGTGACACACACACAGTCACACAGTCACACACACAGTCACACACACAGTCACACACACAGTCACACACACACAGTCACACAGTCACCCACCACGATCTACACAGTCACACAGTCAACAACAACCGCCATTCGCCACTAAGTGGCGGTGACGTCACCACGACGCTTGTGCCAGGCTATTGCACCCTGAGGCCACGTGAAGTGTCGAACGCCCGCTGGCAGGAGGTCACGGGGCAGACCCAGGTGCAACGGGTCGACTGACTGAGATGACTGGCTGATGCACCACCTGTTGCCCCCTACTGTGCCCAACCTGCTGTGCTTTAGCCACCCGGCAGCTCCGCTCGCTGTTGTGAGCGTCGCTCCTTCCGCCCTCCGTTGTGTTGGAGGGCGACTGCCTCCAACTGCCCAGTAGCATCCTTCACGAGCCTCCTCCACAGAGGCCGATCTTGACACCGCTGGTACCAGTCATCGGCAAGTCCACTCAGCTCCACGTCCCTCCTGTACCACATCACTCCATCTCTTCTCTAGCCCGTGCCGCGCCCGCTTAGCCCCCTCAATCCGGCCGAACAAAAGCTGTTTCGGCATGCGGTGGCTGGGCATGCGGGCTACATGACCCAGCCATCGCAGCCTTGCCTGCCGGAGGAGCTCACCGATGGGACCTGCCCAGATCTTTCAAGGATTTGTGAGCTCCTCACACAATCCAGTCTGGTTAAACCCAGGATGGATCGTAGGCAGGCCAGCCTAAATGTTTCTAACCGGCGAAGATGTTCCATTAGGGGGGTCCACGTTTTCGCAAGCGTAGAGAAGGGAGGGAATGACCGTGGCCGAGAAGACCTGAAGCTTAGTGCGGAGCGACAGACCAGGTAGCTTCCACACAGCGTTACGCAACCGATGAAAAGATATTGCCGCTCGACTGATTCGGAGTGAGACCTCTGCTGTTAAACTGGAGCCAGTCATAAGCACACTGCCCAGGTATGGGAAACTCTCCACTCTCTCCACAACTGCCCCATCACCGATTGGGAGTTGTGGGGGTGGAGTGTCCGATGGTACAAAATACCCAGGCAGGTGCTTAGTTTTGGTGGGGCTGATGGTAAGGCCCCACCTCTTAGTGGCACGCTCCAGTCTCAGCAGCAGCTTCTCCAACTCCTCCTCTGACTGAGCAGCTATTACCAAATCATCAGCATACATAACGTGGTTGAGCAATAGGGAGCCATCCCTTGACCGCACCCGGCATCGATCTAGCCTCCCATTATATCTGTACCATATGGAGATTCCCCCGGTACAGCTATTGAAGGCTTCACGAACTACGTGGTCAAAATAGATGTTAAATAATGTGGGAGCCAGAGGACATCCCTGTCGCACCCCAAGGTGTACAGGGAATGGCTCTGACTCCCGGCCACGTAGTTTTTACCCGGGCCCGCTCACCATCATGAAGGTCCTTAATGATCGTGAGCAGAGGGTCAGGTACTCCAAAAGCACGAAGAACGACCCAGAGCCCAGGCCTACTGATGGTATCATAGGCCTTGACCAGGTCAATAAAGCAGAGATGTAGGTCTTGTTGGAATTCCCTACACCTCTGCTGTAGCAGACGGACAGAAAATATGGCATCTGTGCAGGACCGCCCTTTCCTGAAACCGCATTGGGGCTCCGCAAGCCTCTCCTCAGCGTGCCTGGCAAGGCGATGTTGAATAATCCTTGCTAGGACCTTTCCCGGCACACTGAGGAGTGAGATGCCCCTGTAGTTGTTACAGTCTGTGCGGTCCCCCTTCTTAAAAAGGGGGACCACCAGGGCATCCTTCCAATCCTGCGGAACCCGTCCAGTGGTCCAGACTGTTGTTATGATGTCATATAGGGCAGTCTGTGCACAAACGCCACCCTCCCTCAGCATTTCGCTTGGGAGATCATCTCTGCCCGCTGCCTTTCCTGGTCTCAGACTCCGGATCGCCTTCAATACTTCCTCAGCAGATGGCACCTCAGCCAGCCACTCACAGGGGGTGACTTCTTCCATATTTGAGGCACCGCAGCCTCAGCAGGGTCATCCTCACTTTGTGCCACGATGTTTTCCTGGCTGAGGGATTTTCCCTCCCCCAGGACCTCACAGAAATGCTCAGCAAATCTGCGAACCTGTTGCTGGGGGTCGGAGATTGGATCACCGTTTTTTCCCCTAATGATGGTAATAGGTGTGGCGCTGCAGGTTACTTTTTGATGGAGTTAAATAGAGATTTGTGATCACGGGCCACTGAGGCAGACTCCATCTCCTCAGCAACCCGCGACCACCACCCATCCTTGCAGCGCCTCACGGCTCTCCGAACCTCCGAGCGAAGGCTGCGGTAAGCCTCCTCATTCTCTGACGTGGGATTCTGTAGCCGATGACAGTGGGCCTGTCGCTTTTTCTCAACCATCCTGAACACCTCCTCTGTCAGCCAGGGTCTCTGGGGAGGTCTGGACCGCGTACCCAAAGCAGCCATTGCAGCTGCATGAGTCACAGTCCTAAATCTCGCCCATTTACCCTCGACATCAGGAGGAGTGGGGGACGATGCCAATCCCAGCCGCAAGCGATGATTAAATTCTCGCTTGCAACTTTCATCAGATAACTGAGACCAGGCCACTTTAGGTGGGAATGGGGTTCTGGGTGTACACCCACCACCGGAGTGGAAGAATGGCAGGCGCATCTTACAGATGACTAGTCGATGGTCAGAGGGCAGATCAGCTCCACGGTAGGTCCTGGTGTCAAGGACATGGGCTCGCATCTGCTGGTCCGTCACTATGTAGTCCAGCAGATGTTCTTGCTTGGACCCGGCATGCATCCATGGTGTTGTGTGGATGCGCCGATGCCGGAACAGCGTGTTGGTAATTACAAGCCCATGGGCTGCACAAAAATCTAGCAGCCTCCTACCGTTGTTATTGAGCTGATCTGGCCCATGCCCTCCAATCACTCCAGACCAGGTGCCAGTATCATGACCAACTCGGGCATTGAAGTCACCCAACATGATGACTCTATCCCGAGGGGCCACTTTAGCCAGCACCTGTGACAGGTCATAGAAGGCATCTGACTCATCGGCTTTGCCTGCATCCCTCCACGGATGTTCATCTTCGGTGGGGGCATAAGTAACCACGACCACCATTCGTCGCCTCCGGTTGATTGGAAGGCGAGCCCAAAGTAGCCTGGGACTTACAGCTTCCCACACCTCACCGCCACGCTCCCACGCCCCCTTCATTCTTTTGTTCAAAGAAGAGCCACACCCTGTTGTTTGGCAGTCTGCTGCCCCGAGTAGAGGACTGTCCACCCCTCATGGTGGCAGGAGCCAGAACCGGTCCACCGGACCTCCTGAATGCCACATAGATCCAGGCGGTACCGGTCCAGCTCCCGACAGAGGAGTGCAGCCTCTCCTCCGCAGTGAGCGTTCGAACATTCCACGTGGCCACACGAAGTGGCTTTTCGTTGTTTCTGGAGGAGCCCCGAGGGTAGATATTCAATCTCCTGGCTCCGCCAATTGAGGTTTGGTCAGGAGACGTCATAGATGCCTGGCCCCCCGGGGCCTCCGGCACAAGCTTATTAGTTACATATTTAAGTTTAATTCGCGGTTTAGTGGTAATTAATTCAAGGTGGAGGGGTTACCAGCCCCTCGCACCCGTCCAGAGCTCCTGTTTAGCCCCTGTGGTGGACACAGTGAGGACACACACACAGTGACACACACACACACAGTGACACACACACAGTGACCACACACACAGTGACACACACAGTGACACACACACACAGTGACACACACAGTGACACACACACACACACAGTGACACACACAGTGACACCACACACAGCGACACACACACACAGTGACACACACACACAGTGGTGAGTGAGTGTAGTGAGTAAGTGATTGTGGTGAGTGGTGAGTGAGTGTGGTGGTGAGTGGTCGTGAGTGTGGTGTGTGAGTGTGGTGAGTGAGTTGTGGTGAGTGAGTGTGGTGAGTGAGTGGTGGTGAGTGAGTGAGTGAGTGTGGTGGTGAGTGAGTGTGGTGAGTGGGTGGTGAGTAAGTGATTGTGGTGAGTGGTGAGTAGGTGGTGAGTGAGTGTGGTGGTGAGTGGTCGTGAGTGTGGTGAGTGAGTGAGTGTGGTGGTGAGTGTGGTGAGTGGGTGGTGAGTGAGTGAGTGTGGTGAGTGATGAGTGGGTGGTGAGTGAGTGTGGTGGTGAGTGTGGTGAGTGAGTGTGTTGAGTGGTGAGTGGGTGGTGAGTGAGTGGTGAGTGAGTGTGGTGGTGAGTGTGGTGAGTGAGCGTGGTGAGTGGTGAGTGAGTGGTGAGTGAGTGTGTTGGGTGAGTGAGTGTGGTGAGTGAGTGGTGGTGAGTGGAGAGTGGGTGGTGAGTGTGGTGGTGAGTGTGGTGAGTAGGTGGCGAGTGTGGTGAGTGGTGAGTGTGTGTGGTGGTGAGAGTGGTGGGTGAGTGAGTGTGGTGAGTGAGTGTGGTGAGTGTGGTGAGTGGTGGTGAGTGAGTGGTGAGTAGGTGGTGAGCTCACCTGGTGAGTAGGTGGTGAGTGTGGTGGTGAGTGAGTGGTGAGTGAGTGGTGAGTAGGTGGTGAGTGTGGTGGTGAGTGAGTGGTGAGTAGGTGGTGAGTGTGGTGGTGAGTGAGTGTGGTGGTGAGTGAGTGGTGAGTGAGTAGTGAGTAGGTGGTGAGTGTGGTGGTGAGTGAATGGAGAGTGGGTGGTGAGTGTGGTGGTGAGTGTGGTGAGTAGGTGGCGAGTGTGGTGAGTGGTGTGTGTGGTGGTGAGAGTGGTGGGTGAGTGAGTGTGGTGAGTGAGTGTGGTGAGTGGTGAGTGTGGTGAGTGGTGGTGAGAGTGGTGGGTGAGTGAGTGTGGTGAGTGAGTGTGGTGAGTGTGGTGAGTGGTGGTGAGTGGTGAGTAGGTGGTGAGCTCACCTGGTGAGTGTGGTGGTGAGTAGGTGGTGAGTGAGTGGTGGTGAGTGGTGAGTGAGTGTGGTGGTGAGGTGGTGAGTGGTGAGTGAGTGTGGTGGTGAGTAGGTGGTAAGCTCACCTGGTGAGTAGGTGGTGAGTGTGTGGTGAGTGAGTGGTGAGTGAGTGGTGAGTAGGTGGTGAGTGTGGTGGTGAGTGAGTGGTGAGTAGGTGGTGAGTGTGGTGGTGAGTGAGTGGTGAGTAGGTGGTGAGCTCACCTGGTGAGTAGGTGGTGAGTGTGGTGGTGAATGTGTGGTGAGTGAGTGTGGTGAGAGAGTGGTGAGTGGTGGTGAGCTGACCTGGTGAGTGGTGGTGAGTGTGGTGGTGAGTGGTGAGTGAGTGGTGAGTGTGGTGGTGAGTGGTGAGTGGTGGTGAGCTCACCTGGTGAGTGTGGTGGTGAGTAGGTGGTGAGTTTGGTGGTGAGTGAGTGGTGAGTAGGTGGTGAGTAGGTGGTGAGTGAGTGTGGTGAGTGTGTGGTGAGTAGGTGGTGAGCTGACCTGGTGAGTGGGTCCACTGAGTGAGTGGTGAGTGAGTGTGGTGAGTGAGTGAGTGGTGAGTAGGTGGTGAGTGTGGTGGTGAGTGAGTAGGTGGTGAGTAGGTGGTGAGTGGTGAGTGTGGTGGTGAGTAGGTGGTGAGTGTGGTGGTGAGTGAGTGGTGAGTGGTGGTGAGCTGACCTGGTGAGTGGTGGTGGTGAGTGGTGGTGAGTGAGTGAGTGGTGAGTAGGTGGTGAGTAGGCGGTGAGTAGGTGGTGAGTGGTGGTGGTGAGTGTGGTGGTGAGTAGGTGGTGAGTAGGTGGTGAGTGTGGTGGTAGGTGGTGAGTAGGTGGTGAGTGGTGGTGGTGAGTGTGGTGGTGAGTAGGTGGTGAGTAGGTGGTGAGTGTGGTGGTGAGTAGGTGGTGAGTAGGTGGTGAGTGGTGGTGGTGAGTGTGGTGGTGAGTAGGTGGTGAGTAGGTGGTGAGTGTGGTGGTGAGTGTGGTGGTGAGTAGGTGGTGAGTAGGTGGTGAGTGTGGTGGTGAGTAGGTGGTGAGTAGGTGGTGAGTGAGTGGTGAGTGCTGGTGAGCTGACCTGGTGAGTGGGTCCACTGAGTGAGTGGTGAGTAGGTGGTGAGTGTGGTGGTGTGGTGGTGAGTGTGGTGGTGAGTGTGGTGGTGAGTGTGGTGAGTGGTGGTGAGCTGATCTGGTGAGTGGTGGTGGTGAGTGAGTGTGGTGAGTGAGTGTGGTGAGTGAGTAGGTGGTGAGTAGGTGGTGAGTGGTTAGTGAGTGTGGTGAGTGAGTGGTGAGTAGGTGGTGAGTGTGGTGGTGAGTAGGTG